ATATTAGTTAATATGCTGTTTTATTTGTTCCAGTCAAATTCATTTTTCAGATTTAGAATTAAGATATGACGTTTTCACACCTAAGAAACTGAGCGAAATGGAGCGAAAACAATTGGCTTCCAAAGAAAGTTTGAGTTTAATTTTTATACATTGACTTCCAACTTGCACAGGGCAATTATATTGTTAAAGCTACTCAATTTATCAATTCTACATCTTACCTATCGCTGAAGGATATCTGTTCTATCGTCTCTTGTCATAGATGATGTAACGTAACACGTTTGCCGATATGCTCTTAGCCTGTTCGATTTGAAGCATAGATATTTAACCTCAGTTACAGATTCGCTTATTCAACGTTTGACGGTGTATTAGAATGTAGTAGGGATAATTTTCAATCTTCATCTCCCATCCTATATTTTGCGCTAAGAATTTGTTTTCTTTTCATTCCATCAATATTGAAATGACAATTACACAACAAATTTTCTACTCGAATCACTTTATTTAGTGATACACAAACGCCCATTAAAAACAAGCAGCAAAAGAGTGCTCTGATTATTGAACACTGAGCCTCATGAGTCATACTTTAAAAGTTCTGCTAAAAATAATACATAAGAGAATATACGAAAGGCTAGAGGAGGATATTAGCGAGACGCAGTTCGGGTTCAGAAATGGAATGGGTACACGAGAAGGACTATTTGCCATCAACATATTGATTCAGCGATGTCGAGACGTAAATGTTGATCTACACTTGTGCTTCGTTGACTACGAAAAAGTTTTCGATAAAGTAAGACATCTTCTTCTTGTAGTGCCTATCCGTTTCGGATGTTGGCGACCATTATGGCAATCTGCACTTTGCACTATCTTCAGGATGCGACGATAAAGCCACATTTCAAAAGCCTCAATTTTCTTGCAGGTGGCGTCTGTGAGAGTCCATGACTCAACTCCGTACAACAGTATAGGAAAGATATAACATCGTAGTAACCTGAATTTTATGGGCATTGATAAATCATGACTTTTGAATAACAGCCATTTTTTGAAATGCAGATCTTGCTTTCTCTATTCTACATTTGATTTCTATGGAATGGTCCCAATTGTCATTGACGTTCGTACCAAGGTAGGTGTATGTTTTTACTCTTTCTATTTGTTGACCGTTTACACTGATTTGTCCAAATTGCTGTTCCTTCTTAGAGATCATCATGCATTTTGTTTTCTTAGTGTTTAGTGAAAGTCCGTATCTCTGACTGACCTCTGTGATTCTGTTCATTAACTCCTGGAGGGTTTCAGAGGTGTCAGCGAATACTACCGTGTCGTCCGCGTATCTAATGTTATTGATAGATTCTCCGTTGATTCGAATTCCGGCTTCAACATCACCCACTGATTCTTGAAAGATTTCCTCAGAGTATATGTTAAACAGCAGTGGTGATAGTATACATCCCTGACGGACGCCACGTTTGATTTTAATATCGTCGGATTCTCCTGCCTCTTTCCGGATAGATGATGTTTGATTCCAGTACAGATTGCTGACAATTCTTAAATCACAGGTGTTTATTCCAATATTGGTTAATATCTCCATCAGTTTGTCGTGCTTTACTGTATCGAACGCTTTATGGTAGTCAATGAAGCACGCATAAATATCGCAGTTCACGTCTCTACATCGTTGAAATAGCACTTGTATACTAAAGAGAGCCTCTCTCGTACCCACTGCATTCCGAAAACCAAACTGTGTACGGCTGATTTTTTCTTCGCACAGACTATATATCCTTTGATGTATGATTTTTAGAAATAATTTTAAAATCTGACTCATTAAGCTGATGGTTCGGAAATCACTGCAGGATACGGACTTTGTTTTCTTTGGTAAAGCAATAAAGGTCGACTTCAGCCATGTTCTTGGTATTACTCCGCTTAAATATATGTCATTAAATACTTTTGTTAGGTGTTGAATACCGTCGGTGTTAAATAGTTTTATGAGCTCAGCATATGCATTGTCAGGTCCAAGAGCTTTGCCATCTTTTAGTTGTAATATGGCTTTTTGCACTTCATCTAATGTGATTGGTAAGTGGTCATCACATATGTAGGATGGAGGTTGTTCGGATCTAGTATCATCAAAGAGTTCTTGTATGTATTTTGTCCATATGCGGATTTCTTGATTTTTGTCTGTGATGATATTCCCCTGTTGGTCTCGCAGTTTGTTAGCTGTGTTGGATTTCTGAAACACAGCATAAAAAGGTGAAACAAGACCAGCTGCTTGTTTCACCTTTTTATGCATGTTAAACGTATCATGTTTTTGTTCTAACAGCTCTATCTCCTCACACTGTGATTTTAACCAATTTTCTTTGGCCTTTCGTATTTCGGTTCTTATTTGTCTCTGAATCTTGTTGTACATTATTTTGTTGTTCTTTGATTTTCTTCTTTCTTCCATAAGTTGCAGTATATTGTAATTCATCCAACTTTAGTAAGACATTTTTTTTAGTAAGACATGAAAAACTAATATCAATACAAATACAATATTGGAACCAAAGTGCCATAGTTCAAATTGATGGGCAACACTCAGAAGAAATGAGGATCTGTAGAGGAGTTAGACAGGGATGTGTTTTATCACCACTTTTGTTTAACTTATATTCTGAAGAAATTTTCCAAAATACCCTCAATAATATCGAAGCGGGAGTCACCGTTAACGGAAAATTAATTAATAATTTAAGATATGCAGACGACACTGTGATCATAGCAACGAGTATAGAGGATCTACAACATCTTATCGAAAGCTTGAGTATAAATAGTGCTGAGATGGGAATTACTATAAACGCTAAAAAAACGAAGTACATGCTGATTACAAAAAGGCCACAAAATATACATCACCTATTGACAATAAATGGTAACGTGATAGAACAAGTAGAAAAATATCAGTATTTGGGAACTTTGATCAATGAAACCAATGATCACACTGTAGAAATAAACAGGCGAATATAGATTGCCAGATCAGCATTTATACGAATGAAGCCACTCCTAACGTGCAAAAATCTGAATTTGGAGATCAGACTACGTACCATTCGCTGTTATATATTGTTACGAACATGCTTTCGGCATGACTCATATAACGGTTGCATCTCGAAACGGCTTCCAGAATCATCACCAGATCTCTCGAAGGCAAGAGAACAATCGGTCACGTGCGCGAATTAGAGGTGGGAACTTTCTAGAACATAGTAACTTAGGTATATATATATATATATATATATATATATATATATATATATATATATATATATATATATATATATATATGTAACGACCTTAGGAGTAAGTTAGTTAATAAGAGAATCTTCTTCGGGTTCCTTCTCCTAGCGGAGGTTGGAAATCATCATCGCTATTTTAACTTTGTTGGCCGCATTTCTGAATAATTCTAATGAGCTGCAGCCGAACCACTCTCTCAAATTTCTTAGCCAGGACATTTTGCGTCGTCCTGGGTTTCTCTTCCCTTGTATCTTCCCTTGCATAATCAACCTCAGTAATACGTACTTCTCACTCCTCATTAAATGTCCCAGATATTGAATCTTTCTAATTTTAACAGTTTTTATGACTTCACATTCTTTCTTCATTCTTTGTAACACCTCTATATTAGTTACTTTTTCAATCCACGATATTTTATGCATTCTCCTGTAGCACCACATCTCAAAGGAGTTTAATTTTTTGATTTCAGACTGCTTTATTGTCCACGCTTCCATGCCATATAGTAAAGTAGAGAAGACGTAACAACGTAGCATTCTTGTGCGAATCTCTAGATTAAGGTTACGGTTGCAAAGTAATTTCTTCAATTTTATGAACGTGTTTCTTGCCATTTCTATTCTAGATCTGATCTCCTTTACTTGATCTCCATCTTCGGTTAGCCACGTTCCTAAATATTTATATGTTTTTACTCTTTCTATCGTTGTATTATTGATGATCAGGTTATTTACATTTTGTGGTTTTTTTGAGAATATCATTGATTTCGTTTTCTTGAGATTCATTTGCAGTCCGTAACTTTCACATGCATTGTATACATGTTGTATTATGTACTGTAGATACTAATAAGAGAATACCGAACTGTAAAGTTATAAATAAATCTTCTTCTTCTTCGGGTTCCTTCTCCTAGCGGAGGTTGGAAATCATCATCGCTATTTTAACTTTGTTGGCCGCACTTCTGAATAATTCTAATGAGCTGCAGCCGAACCATTCTCTCAAATTTCTTAGCCAGGACATTTTGCGTCGTCCTGGGTTTCTCTTCTCTTGTATCTTCCCTTGCATAATCAACCTCAGTAATACGTACTTCTCACCCCTCATTAAATGTCCCAGATATTGAATCTTTCTAATTTTAACAGTTTTTATGACTTCACATTCTTTCTTCATTCTTTGTAACACCTCTATATTAGTTACTTTTTCAATCCACGATATTTATGCATTCTCCTGTAGCACCACATCTCAAAATAAATACATTTATATAAATTCGAACCGCGCGTTTTATTATTTAATCTCGCTACAATATTTTCAATATTACTATATGGAGCTGAGACTTGGACATTAATAAATGTAATTTAAAAAGAATCGAGGCCTTCGAACTCTGGTTATACCGCAGAGTATTGAATATATCATGGACTGATAGAATTACAAATAAAGAAGTACTGGAGAGGGTTGGTAAAGAAACAAAACTAATCACCACTATACAAACCAGAAAACTGGAATACCAAGGCCTCGTGATGAGGGGACCAAAATATGAAATTTTGAGACATAATACAGGGAAAGATTCAAGGAAGAAGACCTGTTGGTCGAAGGCAGAACTCATGGTTAAAGAATCTACGTGATTGGTATCAATGCAGATCGATTGATTTGTTTAGAGCAGCAAGTTCAAAAATAAAAATAGCCATTATGATTGCCAACCTCCGTAGGGAGGTTGGCAATCTAAGAAGAAGAACGCCCATTCCATTTTCTTTACATGCCTACAATTTCCACATAAATAATCAACTACAAAACATTTAAAATATATTTATTTATTTATTATAATTAACTTATATACATATAATATCATTAACAAGAAAGATGCTTTCAATTTTCACAGCCTCCTACTACAGTTCTTTTAATATAAGTTTATTTTTTGAGCTATTACTAGCGAAGAACATGAATTTTTGTGTTGTATGCTTCTGGCAGTGATTATGTCAATATGTATTTCCAAGCTTAGTGAATCGACTATAGACATTAAATCTGTCAAGAGCACTTCCTGTAGAATACTAGAAAAATAAAGTAACTAGATTATAGAAAACATTTTTTGACATCATTTTGGTAGCAGTAATTCTTAGTGTCATAAATTGACTTGATTTGACAATATTGTATCTTTAATTAAGACAATTAAAACTTTTATCTAATGCTGAATCATTCCCAGTTTTCTTATATTTTAAATCAAATATTCAAGCCAGCCTACACCAATTAATCATAAATAAAAAACTCAGTAATTAGGGAGGCAACACTTTGTACGGATTAAGTATACCGTTTGGATCCATTAAAACCTTTAACTGTTTCATTAGAGCTATTGCCTCGTTGGTTTTAGAGTAATGGATATATTTCGGTTTTCTGAATCCAACGCCATGCTCAGCGCTTACACTGCCCTTATATTTGGCTGTCACTTCGTAAATGTAGGGCTCAATTCGCTCTAGAACTTCTTTTGTAAATTCATGTACTGAAATATTAAGATGGATGTTTCCGTCACCTACAAAAAAAAATTGTATATAATGCCTGTAAATATCTATTAATTTTTAACTGTAAACTAGATTATTTAATAAATAGTGCAGTTCGATAAAAGAATCTAAAAAAGTTTGTAACTATTTTCATGAAGTTCAAGTTATCACGATATGATAATAAATTGGGAATAAAACTTTGAAAAACTTTATCATTAATAGGCGAGCGATTTACCCCTCAAAAGACGCTTAAAAACAGAATATACCTACTAATTTTTTTTTGCATTTCTAATGCACCAAACCTTTTTTATTCGATTCTATATATTTTTCCAAGATGAAATGTATTTTTTTTTAATTTTTACAAGTGGGCCGGCAATTGTTATTAACAAATAACTTATACACAAAAGCAATTTCACCTAATTGCTTCGGAATCAATTTTTTAGGTGTATCTCATCAAAATAAACACTTTTTCTCTCTTGATAATTTTTCGAAAAATGCTTCCTTTTCGAGTTATTTGCATTTTTTTGTTGAAAAAATGCCTTAATTAGTGATTTTTGGGATTTCTAAAAAACTACTAAATGAATTGCAATTCTACAAATAGCTTTATAATCTCAATTTTCATTGAAAAATATAATAAATATAATATAATAAAAATATAATATTATTTATACATCGTTTTCATTGTCAATAATTTGAAAATTTTCGTCAACAGCAACAGCATTTCCATCTAATAAGCTGATTTCATTGTCTTCAATGTTCTTGTCTTCAAGTCGTCTTTAACATTTTTACAATTCCCTGGTGTACATGTAATACTGCGCAGCATTCTAAATTATAGGAAATACAATTACAATTTTTCGTAGAACCTTTTCCGGTACATATAATATATATTACATTATTAAAAAAGTCGAAAAGATTCGAGCACCTACAGCACCTCAATCGTTGTACAAGCTTAGCGGGATACTCTCGAAAGGCATATTCGAAATATTTGGGTCCACGTTTTTAGCGAGATAGAAACCATTTATCCTTGTCAAAATATTCCAACTTATACTCGACGGTTTACAGATTATAAAGCTATTTGTAAAATTGGAATTCATTTAGTAGTTTTTTAGAAAAAAATCCCAAAAATCACTAATTAAGGCATTTTTTCAACAAAAAAATGCAAATAACTTGAAAAGGAAGCATTTTTCGAAAAATTATCAGGAGAGAAAAAGTGTTTATTTTGACGAGATACACCTAAAAAGAATTTATTCCGAAACAATTCGGTGAAATTGCTTTTTTGTATAAGTTATTTGTTAATAACAATTGCCGGCCCACTTGTAAAAATGTTAAAAAAATACATTTCATCTTGGAAAAATAATATAGAATCGAATAAAAAAGGTTTGGTGCATTAGAAATGCAAAAAGAATTTTAGTAGGTTGATGCTCTGCTTATAGGGGTAAATCGCTCGCCTATTGACGAAGTCAAACGAAAGAGTCGACACAGTGCGGCAAAAATTCAAATTAAAGCACGTAGGGAAACAAAACATTTGGCAATTAGTGGCTTATGTAAAAAAATGTATTAATTAACGTTACTTAAATACTGTTTCTCAGACGAACCCTAATTTAAACTAAGAATAATTTTATATTCTACTATGATATTAAGGTATTCGCTTTTAACTTAGAAATGAGCGCCATATATGGAATATTTAATTTTTGTAAAATAAATTACATGATGTGGGTACTTATTAGGACATTTTTTTTATTTAAGGGTTTTAGTACAGGATGTTATTTTGATACAAAGTGTTGTAGAGCAATCTACACTTCTACCACTCCTACCAAGGCTGTATGTAGATGACATAGACATCGGGGGAAGAAATTGTGTTTTAAATTGTGTTTTTGGAATTCATGTTTAATTTGGACTATTTTAAACTTATTAATGGGTTACATTGGAGAATGAACTGAGGGTCTATTCATTGTTTTTTTTACGAATTTTAATTTAGATTACTTTTCTTGGAATTCTGAAGTTTATTTTGTAATATCTGGAGTTATTTTTAATTTCCTTTTTTTTTAATTATGGAGGCCATACACGTTAGGGTTTGCATCATGGACGTATAAATAAGATTTATACGTCCATGGTTTGCATGATGGTTTTAACATTGCATGCATAACCAACCAGCAAGCCCTAGCCTGTATGTTATAAAACTGTACAGTTATCGGTGCATGCAACCGAGCAAATATGAAAATTCATATTTTATGCCGCTCGGTTTTGCTTGCCTGCAAGCATACCCTAGCATGTGTGGCGTCCAGCGAGCTTGCCTGCCATAGCTCTCATAGCATTGTATTTACGTTTCAGGTATTATTCGGCCCAAAGCCTGAGGTTACGTAATAGCAGAATATTTGAGACACTTGTATGTTCTTCGTGTTGCAAGAAATCTTAATGTTATAATAGTCTCTCATGTGCTGATATTGCTTTCCTCATAACATTATATTGTCTTTGTATTAATGGAGTAATCAATGATAATAGTTTCCAATAAAGTTTTTCATCCATTCGTAAATAATTTTTGTAATCTGTTGGTTTAAATCTCAATTCATTTATAAAATTTACGTGGGAGAAATGATTTCTTTTTAATAACCAGCGTTTAGACCATTCAGTGCGATCTCTCTTTTTTTTCTGAAGAATAAGTGTTAAGCGAAGTACAGCTATCATATCGTTGTCGTCCACTGTAGTTTGGTGGGTATATGCCTCCCATATACCTGTCGGTTATGCATGCATGATTAAAACCATCATGCAAACCCTAACGTGTATGGTCTTGATTGTGATGCTATGTTATGTTTGATACAACATTTAAAGTTGTTTTTTACCTACTTAAGTTAAGATTTTTACCTACTGTGTGTTGACATCTTGCGCTTGCGTAAGCTATGGGCTCATCGCTTACCGCCGCATTTCATGAAGTTCTTTTAACGAATAAAGGAGCATCTTTCAGTCTTTGTTTACTAGGGTTATTTTTTTAATAATCAATACTAAGTTTAAATAAATCGTTGGAGATTATCAATGCGGATTTAGACCGGGCCGCTCTACAATTGACCAGATATTCACAATAAAACAGATAATGGAAAAATGCTGGGAGTTTGATCGTGAGCTTCATCAGATGTTCATAGATTTTAAACAAGCATTTGATAGAGTATGTAGGGACAGACTGTGGACAGCGATGCAGGAACTTGGCTTTCCAAAAAAACTAGTCCGGTTGATACGGATGTGTATGGAACAGTTACGATGTAAGGTGAGAGTTGGACAACAATACTCGGAGACATTTGAAATAAACAATGAACTAATACAGGGAGATGCACTTTCACCACAACTCTTCAACTTAGCTCTGGAGCACATAATCAGAAGTGCAAGAATCGAAAAACCGAATACAGTATTTCATCGAGAAGGACCAAACTTACTACTGGCATTTGCAGACGATATAGATCTAATAGGAAACACGCGATTAAGGATAAAGGAGACTTTCGTAAGGTTTGAGAAGGAAGCAGAGAAGATGGGGCTCCAAATCAACGAAAATAAGACGAAATATAGGTATATGAGCCGCAATAACCAAAGCAGAGACAGAATCGGTCAGAACATTACCATCGACGACTTTAACTTTGAGCGCGTTAGAGAATTCAAGTATCTTGGAACAACAATAACTGAAAACAATAACGGATCACAAGAAATAAACAACAGGATTCAGGCCGGCAATAGATGTATTTTTGCCCTCCAAAACCTTATAAAATCAAAACAACTAACACGAGGTACGAAGATACAGGTCTATAAAACAATCATACGACCCGTTGTGATGTATGGAAGCGAAACGTGGACGATGACAAAGGCAAATGAAGAGAGACTACGTGTTTGGGAAAGAAAAATCTTAAGGAAGATCTTTGATCCGGTGCTTGATGAAGCATCAGGACAATATAGGATAAGAACTAATAAAGAGCTTGAAGAACTTTACCCAGACGCCAACATCATAAAAGAAATAAAGTCCAGAAGACTCCAATGGGCAGGACACCTCAGAAGACATTCTGACGAACGAACAGTAAGACTGGTGTGGGAGGAAGTCCCAACTGTAAGGAGACCACGCGGACGCCCTCGTCTCCGGTGGCGAGATAATATAGCAGGAGACCTAAGCACTATGGGCGTGGAGAATTGGATGAAGGTTGCTCAAGACAGAAAACAGTGGAGGCATGTTGTCGAGTCGGCTAAAACCCACGAAGGGTTGTAACGCCACGGAGTAAATAAGTAAGTAAGTTTAAATAACTTTGTCAATTATTTTTATCACTTTTTGTCTCAATGATAATTATGTCACTTATGAATTTGTAATGTCAATTGCTTGCTTTGGGATCCTCCATCGAGGATCATTTTCTCTCAAATATTTGAGTTATTTGATGTCATTCAAGTTTACAGTACACCCTTGATACTCCGAAGTTTTGCAATCCGATATACTCGGTAGTCTGACGCACCTCCCGTCAAGGTCGCCGCCGTGTCTGCTTGTATCTCATTCTTACCGGATGCTTCATTTTGTATGGTTTACGTGAGCAGTTCGGTTATACATAGTTCCAAACTTGTATTTAATTCGTTTATAAAGTTCAGTTCAACGGCGAGCACAAGTTCAACAACGAGCTACAGTGTACGTTATAAGAGCTACATTATGAAAAACAAAGACAAAATCGAAAAATTTATGGAATCTATAGAGAATGATTCTAAGGACAGAAAAACACTTAAAATAAGTGAATCTCCTGATGCTAAACAAGCTCTGCACATTTGGTTTAAGCAACAACGAAGCAGACAAGCTCTTATTTCAGGTGACATTTTAAAAAATAAAGCTCAGTTTTTTTTTATCAGGTATTAACACAGAAAACTGATTTTCGTGGTAGTCAAGGTTAGTTTGAAAACTTCAAACTTTTCATATAATACGGAGACAATAGTATAATATTCTTCGACTGATTATAACGGGCAAAATCGAAGGCTGCAGGGGAATTGGTAGAAAACAATCCTTATAATTGAAGAATATCAGAGAAAACCAGAATACGGAGAGTAAATAATTGTTCAGCATAGCTCAAGACAAAGAGAGAGTTGCCATGTTAATCGCCAACAGCAAGGTAACTTCAGGCACGTCAATAAGAAAAAAGTGGACACATCATTATACTTTTCCAATTGAAAACACTGATTATGGTGCAGGGATAGTTTTTTATTTTTATTTGGTTGGTACCAAAAAAACTTGACCAAATAAAAAACTTGGTTATGCCTTGTATGAAAGTTTATTAGGACTCTTCACATTCAATTAGAACAGTAGAAAAGTAAGTCTAAATCTGGTCGTATAAGTAATAAAAACGAATGTTTTGGATTTCAAAAAGGTGTATACATAATTGGTGCTGCCATCGCTAACAATTGAACAAAAACAACAGCATTTCAGCAATATTTAGAGTTTTAAAAATAAAAAAATTGTATTGATTATTTTTTCACTATAAATGAGACTTGGATCTACTACCATAATCAAAACTTAAAACAGGAGGCTAAATCATTATTCGATACTTTCGCTTACGAGTACTTTGATAGAGAGTTAAGATTCAAAAATCGACCACGAAAGTATTTTCATCAGTTTTTTGGAACTCCAACAGTAATTTTATTCGTGGATGACGTCCAAAAGGCTTAAGATATTTGAGTATTAATAATTAGAGACTTCATAGAAGTGTTTCCAAAGGCCATAAAATACTTTGTTAAAAAGTTTGGACTGAAAGGACAACTTTAACCTAAGGATGAGCCAAAATAGACCTCTTGGGTCGAATGGAAGGATGGTTAAGCGCCCACTCATATTAAACCTAACCTAACTTAACCTCCAAACTGGTAAAACAATAAATCCAGGTTATTTAAAAATTCGTGAGAAAAATATAGTTTACATAGCAAAATAGGTATTTTCATCAAAATAATGCCCATCTCATAAAACTCATCATGTTGCAACATCATCCCTATTCGCCAGATTTAGCTCCCCCCTTCCGTTCATATTTTAAAAAATTCTGATTTTAATCGAAGGAATAGGTAATTGTAGTTGAGGAAGCATATGTTGACAATATTTCTGATTCTGACTTCAGGTATGGCATCCATAAATTATAAGATTACTAGAGAAGTGCTTTAACACTCAGGAATATTATATAAAAAACGTTAGTAACAAAAGGTATATCAAACCATAAAACCATGCTTTTCTTTTCGAACAACAAAACTTACTGAACCAACTAAGATATTTCTTGTTTATCACTGACAGGTATAAGTGTGTTTTTTTCCAATTAAAAAACGAACTGCAAATAGTAAAATACCTCGTCTCTAGATTACTGTCTCAATAATAAAACTGTCCTCAAATTTTGTTTCCCTATAATTCAATCAGATGAATACCGACACTAGTCCTTAACTGGTAGAAAAAATAGGAAATGGACCAGGTCTGAGATTGTTGATAGTGTTGTTATACCTTGTTGTACAATTTTGTACTTACCGCAAAATTAGATACTTACCAACATGTCCGTAGCCACATACTCTAAAGGATAGGTCTCCGAGTCTTTCCCTCATGATTGGAACTAGCGAGTAAAAGTGTTCCGTGGGAAGAGAAATATCATACTTAAACACATATCCATCTCTTGTAAGCGATTCTGTGATTCTCTCCCTCAAATCCCATATCGACTAAAACAGATTTAGACATAGATAATATTTATTTTACTTGTTGGTATTAATTTATTACGGTATTTTATGATTCATTCATATTTTTAAAGAGATATCTCGAAGAATGTTTCATCGAGATTCTAGGAATTCAAGAGAAGTGCTCGGCATCGATTTTTATTAAAGCGAGAAACAAGCCAGGTACACTAAGCGAACATACTATAAAAAGCTACATTCAAGTTTTGGCTGAGACTGAAGTTGTAAAATTGAAAAATGTCGTCGAAAAGAGACAATGATATAAGATATGTCAAGGTTCTTTGGTTAATGTAAACGTAAGTAAATTGTTTTTTCTTCTCAAAAACTTTAGCTGAATGAACATACTGTAACATACTATATTCATTTGAGTTATAGCTGGAAATGAAATTCTAACAGTACTCCAGAAAGTATATAAGTAGTTAATGTCAACAACAACAAAATAGATTAGCTATGAGACGTACTACAACCATCAAACTTATGAATTTCTACAGATGGTACTTAAAGCAAGTATGTTGTAGAATAAAAGATAGGAATATAAAAATTACCAAGATAGTGTTATGACAGTCATTACTCAAATAATGAATGATATAAATATATGACACTAATTAATTAAAATCACGTTTAGTCTTTACACATAGATAAATATTATAATAGTAGAAAGTCTTTACATCCGTCTGAACTGGATGCTGTTATGAGTTGGCGATCCTTATGCAACCCACTTTACTCTAGAGCATAGTGTGCACGAGCTAATTCATACCACCTCCCTCTTAAGGTTAAAATACAATTTGGTCCTACCTATTATTGACAATAATGAATTAATCTAACCTAACATAGATTTGAATTTATAGTTACAATATAAATGCATTATGCATTTAATACTTTTGCAGCAAATACACAGGGTTCTAATATTGTGGTTTTTCATCACCATCCTACCACTTTTTTTTTCAAATTTTCCTACATATTATGTTAGCGTTACCAAAAAATGACTAAGCTCGTTGAGATTTTTTGGTGTAGGCATTTGTTTAATAACTTCTACTTCAGGATCATCAATTGCTATACCATGTTTAGATAACACATGGCCAACATACTTTACTTCAGTTACAGTTACATGAAACTTACAGTTATTTTTATTAAACCTTATAACTTTGTAATAATACAAATTCATTATCGTTAATTTGATTACTAAAAGTTTTTAGTAGTAGCTACATTAGACGAATCATTACTGTTATATTCTACAGAGTTAACAATATTTTTATAATAACAAAATTTGTTAAAATGGTTATATTATTTGTAACAACGTGTACATTGCTTTCCCATGAGAGGACAGGTATTAAAATCATGTGATCTTCCACATCTGTCACATTTTGCTGTTGCACCTCTTGATACAATCTGGTTTGCTTTCCAATAATAAACTTTTATTTGTCTTGACTTCTGTTTAAGTTTTTTTCTGGCATCATTTACTGAAAAATTACTCTGAGAAACGAACTATTCCCCAAATCTTTCAATCAACAAATCATAACTCTATTTTCCTGCTTTTGTTAAATTGAAAGTAAATTCAAAGTAGTTCAAAATATCTTCATAAATACAATAAAAAAACAACGCTGCCTGAATTTGCTGTGATTTTTCTTTACACCCCGTTGCTACACTATATAGTAAAGTGAATTTTTAAATTTCTCCCAATTTACTACCATACCTTCACTCACTGACATGGCCTTCGGTTGTTTTAAGCATCTCCATTTGGATTTACTTTTACTGATTTTATAAAAATTGTTTACTTTGTACCTTTTTCTGGGTTTGTAGGTTCACTGGACCATGTTATGATAGTCATTAGTCAATCAATAATAAATATACGATGCTAATGAATTAAAACTACGTTTAGTCTTTACATGTGTTTATATTAAAGTCAGAAGTTGTAAGGGCAATCAAACAGAGCAAATGGGGAAAAGCACCAGGCCCAGACGACATATACATAGAGTTTCTCATAATGTTGAGTATAGACAATATAGACGCCTTGGTAGATCTTTTTAATGACATTTATGGGTCCAGTCAAATACCACAGGATTGGCTTCAATCAACCTTTATACCAATCTCAAAGAAGCCAAACGCTAATAGTTGCGACCAATTCCGAATGATCAGCTTATGGAGCCACGTCTTAAAACTCCTCTTAAAGATAATTCACACAAAAATATACAACAGGTGTGAAAGAGACACTAGCCCCACACAGTTCGGTTTCAGACAAGGATTTGGCACAAGAGAAGCACTTTAAAGCTTAACTGTCCTACTCCAGAAATGCAGAGATCAGCAAAAAGATGTCTTCCTGTGTCTTTATAGATTAACAGAAAGCGTTTGATTGTGTTAATCATTCAAAATTAGTAAGATTGCACTACGAACGTTCGATAAATGAGAATAAACTTAAAATCATAAAGAACCTTTATATAAATCAAGTGGCGTCTGTGACAGTAGGACTCGAATCTACATCATATTTCTCAATCAACAAAGGTGTTGACAGGGTTGTGTTCTGTCACCTCGCCTTTTTAATCTTTACTGTGAAACGATTTTCGATAGAGCCTTAAGTGACACTGAAGATGGAATCAAAATCAACGGACAGACTATTAGTAATCTTCGCTATGCTGATGATACAGTCATAATAGCAGATAGCCAAGAAGCGCTACAACGACTAATAGATAGAATAAACACTGAAGGGGAATGACTGGGCTTGAAGATTAATATAGACAGGACGAAGGTAATGGTGGTTAGTAGAACACGAAATATGCAATTAAATATAAGAGTAAACAATAAGAACATCCAAAAGGTCCCAAAGTTCAGATATCTCGGTAGATGGATAACTGAAGATCTAGATCCAGACATGGAGATACGTAGCAGGATTGAGCAAGCCAGAACAGCATTTAATAATATGAAAACCTTGCTAAGCAACAGCAGTCTTAACTTAACGCTTCGATATCGCTTTGTAAAATGTTACATTTACTCCATACTGCTATATGGTGTAGAAACCTGGACCATAAAGGCCAATGTGATGAACCGATTGGAGGCCCTTGAAATGTGGGTATTAAAAAGACTACTTAAAATTCCCTGGACAGATCACACACCAAATGTCGAAGTATTAAATCGAACGGGAAGAGAACGAGAATTGCTGCCAATAATAAAAAGAAGAAAAACTGCTTATCTGGGTCATATATTTCGTAATTCCAAGTACTAGTTCTTAAAGCTTCTGGGGGATGTCGATAGAAAGGGAGCATTATCTCGTGGTTATCGAAACTTTTAGAGCGTCATGACATTTCAGCAAAAAAAAGGACTTTTTCATGTATTTCAATATTGTGAAAAAACTACAGATTCTACATAAAAATGCTCAACAGACGACTTTCTTGAAAATACCTTCTCTTTAAAATGAGATTTTCTAAATTAAAAAATATTAATAAACAAAAAAGTTATTGTAAATTAAACCCGAAAGTAACCATGTTTTTAATTATTTAAAATTATTAAAGCAAACAATAAAAATATTTTTATGCTTTTATATGTAATATTTTATGATTTTTAAAAACTATAATAATTTTTAAATGTTTGCTTACAAATAATTAAAACATAATGAAGTACCATTACCATTATATTGGCAATATCCCTAACTTAGCTCAGTAAATTATGTAGATGACACATATAGTACATTATTTAAATTACAAATCTTATTCAAAATATAGTACTGAATGTAGACTTAGTACTGACAAAATCTAGACTTAGTTCAACATTCTAACGGTTTTATTAGTCAATACAAATTAGTTTGGAGACCAGTTGGATTCTGCCAAAAGTCAGTCAAGTAATAATACCAATAATGCAGTCATTTGTAGGTTTATTAGAACATTTTACCATGATATTAGGTAATTTTTAAACATACAAGGATGAACTACAGAAAAGGTGGGAAGAAGAGCACCATCATTCATAGAAGCTTACAAAATATAAAAACCCTATATGATGATGATGATGATTTGGAGTAAGATCACAATTCTCAGGTCTCAATTAGTGCACAGAAAGATATCAATACAATAGCAGAAATCAAAGACCTAAACAATCGTGATTTGAATCAGATAAAATTATGCAGTTAAAGAACTTTATCATTCTCTTTGCCCTTATTCGTATGTGAGGTCGGGAATTAAGTTTTTATCTTAGGTTATAGGTACCAATAGGTAACAATATTTGAAGACCTTGACAGCGTCATATAAATATGGCAGCTTTCTTCATAAAACATTGAGAGATTGTTTTGTTTACGGTCTTGATGTGAGTGTGATGCAAAAGTTACTGACAAGGGACAACTCATTAAAATTTGAATAAGCTTGTCAGGAGGCAAATTATGAAAGGTTTACAGTAGGATCCAGACTAGTTTTTCCACGAAGTTAGAGCACCAAGCACATCAGTTTTAAAGAAAAGTCAACCAAAGTTCAGACAGCATTTAAGTTAATTAAACAGCCAACCAACTGCACAAAAGTAAGTAAGGTACAAAGAGATTGTTCAAGTGTAATATACATACATTTAGCAAAGAGTTAAGCGTCTTATCCCTTCGACAGCATTTCGTCAGCTTGACACAAATGTACATAAAATTCCAAGTACGTTCACGTCTTTTTACTTGTTCTACCTTAGATATTCATCTTTTTAAATAAAACTTACCTTCATTTTATTTACTTCGTTAGTAGTTGTTCCGTTCATTACTAATCCCTCTTCCATTATATTTTCTAAGAAGTTGTTCATTTTCTCTTCATCATGTTCAGCCTTACTACCGTGGGTTTCGATCAACATATGAAAAGGATAAGGTTCGAATGGTGGTTTAACATTCAGATGAGTGGTTACCAGATCTAAGCTTAAGTCGTCTATTAGTTCACATGATGCCAAGATTTCTCCCAACTCTTGTCGGGCTTTTCTGAGAGTTTTCAGAACATCTTCAAAAGTATTTAGACCTAAAAAATATATTAAACATAAAGTAAGATTATAGAAACATATCTGTATTTCACAACAGCACTAATGATAAACTTTAACATACAATAGAAACAAATATGGCGATTTTTAAGACAACTAAAAAGTGAAATTGAAGAATTGGTGTAGACTCAACACTTTGGAATAAATTTTCTCATTATTCTTCTTAAAGTTCCATTATAGCAATTTTAACTTTCTTCACAGCTGTCCTGAATAAATATAAATTATTCCCTTAAATTTCCTTTTAACTACAAAAATCACTACTTTATCTTTATCTCTCTTTATCTCTCATTATGCAATCAAAGTACTCCAGTTTTCCCTTTTTCACTGTTCGCATTATTTCCTGTTCCTTACTTATTCTTCGCAATAAATTCTTCTAGTATTCATCGCATATGTAATATTCTAAGGTACCTTTAAAATACTTTTAATTTATGAAAGTCTGATTTTTTCAACGTCCATGCTTACCATACAACACCAAAGAATAATGTTCTTATATTATATCTTCTTGTTATTTTAACGGCCCTTAACTGTCCAATCGTGAATATGACCCCCTTGAAATTTTCATTCTAATTTGTGTCTTCCTAACTAGTGCCACTGTCTTCCCAACGTTTCTTTTAAACCGTCCAGCAATATTTTTGGAGGTTGCATCCATAAATATTGCATGTGTCATTAATAACTGTGGCAGCCGTAACTCGGTGGCTGTGTTACTGGCTTAACAAGCTGAAGGGCCCGGGTTCGTATCCTGGCACCGAAAAAAATTTCAATTTCTAATTTAATTGAGCTGCTACCGTGCTTCGGAGGGCACGTAAACCCGTCGGTCCAGGCTACGAAAGTAGTCGTTAATTCGTGTTAGGGGCACTTGAGCGACCTGAAAACCCCAACACTAAACCTAAGCCAGAAGTTTACACGAACTTTACTTTTTTAACTGTTAGCTAATAACGAAATATAGCTTATTTAGCTATGGCTATAGTTACAGAAATATGGCTCCACTATATACATTAAATATTATACGAGACAATGCATAGCCCTGTCTGACACCTATTAGTCTTTTTACCTGTTTTCATAATTCATTATCTATATGTATTTTGGCTTTTTTATCCAATTTATCCAGCACAACTGGATTCAGAGTGCCCAAGATCGGATTCAATAGAATTATTTACGGAATACCTATGTTCATCAGTGGAGTCAAAACGGCTGATGATGATAATGACGATTATTTGATTTAGGCAACTTGTGGCTCTATTTGATCTATTCACTTGGTCTTCCACTTCTGTTTGGCCTTCTGTAGCTAGATAATGTGATGCCTAGATATTTAAACTACATCACTTTTTCTATTATCTAATCTTCCAGCTCCAATTTACATCTTAGTAAAAGCTGTTTTATCAGCTTTTACTAAGAATGAGACAACATCACACAAGTATACAATGTACCAACAGTCGAAGAAAGATGGGATAACATAAAGAATGGTATCATCGATACAGCAACGCAAAGTGGAACTGTCACCCATTATAAAAAGCAAGCGTGGATGAAAGATGAAATAATCGAAATGATGGACGAAAGAAGACAACTTAAAAATAGAAATAACTCTATACTAGAGTATAAACGAAAGCATAATCTGATTCGAAGAAAAATCAGGGAAGCCAAAGAGTTATGGATGCGAGCAAAATGTGAGGAACTAGAAGAATTGCAACGAAAACATGACGAATTTAGCACACATAAGAAAATAAAAGAAGTTACAGTACACAAAAGAAATACACCCATAACATTAACGAATAATGAAGGTCATGCACTATCCCTAGAACACGAAGTAATGGAGGAATGGGAAAACTACATTAAAGCATTATTTAAGGATGATCGAGGATCACTACCTAACTTAAGTGCAAATACAGGACCATCAATCTTAAAAGCTGAAGTGGAAAAAGCCATACACCAAGCCAAAAGCAACAAAGCCAGTGGACCAGATCAAATATACAGCGAATGGCTAAAATTACTCTCAAATGACAATATAAAAGAACTCACTGTACTTTTCAATCAAATATATGATACCAGTGAAATTCCATCGGACTGGTTAAAATCGATCTTTATTCCTCTACCTAAGAAACCAAACGTTAAGAAATGTAGCGATTGTAGACTCATTAGTTTAATGAGCCATGCCGTTAAAATACTGTTGCATATTTTTCTAAACCGAATTAACAACAAGTGCGAAGAAATAATTAGTCAAGAGCAGTTCGGGTTCCGGAGATGCCTTGGAACTAGAGAAGCACTATTTTCTGTGCAAACACTCCTTCAACGATGTTGGGAGGTAAGAAAACCCGTATATATGTGCTTCATTGATTTTGAAAAGGCATTTTCAAAGGAAAAAGGATGCAGAGCATCCAACTAGATGAGAAAGACATCAAACTTATTGCCAAACTTTACTGGAACCAAACAGACATTATTAATACCAACAACAGAGAATCAAAGCCAATCAGTATTGAACGAGGCGTAAGACAAGGCTGTATACTATCTCCCATCCTGTTTAACGTGTATTCTGAGAATCTATTTAAGGAAGCTTTAAAAGATCAAAAAGGAATTATCAGAGAAGAAATAATTAACAATATACGGTACGTCGACGATACTGTGATTCTAGCTGAAAACATCGACGATCTGCTAAGGAGCTAATCAATAGAGTTGACATGGAATGTACAAATTGGGGACTGTCGATAAATATCGATAAAACTAAATACATGGTGACCAGTAAAGTGGATATCGGCGCAACCCAACAAATATTGAACCAACAACCGCTGCAGAGCGTTAAGAGATTCAAATACTTGGATGTTGGATTACCCAAAATCTAGATCCATCCTTCGAAATTCGATGTAGAATTGAACAGGCAAGAAACTCATTTCAAAAATTCAAGCCTCTATTATCCAATAATTCATTAAATTTGGAAATCCGTGAAAAGTTTACAAGATGTTACGTGTGGTCTGTACTTTTGTATGGATGTGAAACTTGGACTTTAAACGCCGATATCATGAATAAAATCGAGGCGTTTGAGATGTGGTTGTATCGAAGGATACTAAAAATTCCATGGACTAGCAGAACCAGAAACGAAGAAGTTCTTCGAAGAATGGGACATCAACGAACTCTATTAAATATTATTAAGAGGCGTAAACTAGAATATCTTGGACATTTAATCAGAGGACCAAGATATGAGTTCCTTCGGCTAATTCTAAACGGTAAAATCGAAGGAAAGAAATGGATAGGACGGAAGAAACTCTCTTGGTTGAGGAATTTGCGGCAGTGGACAGGTTTGACAGCGGACCAATTGCTACACGTAGCGCAAGACCGAGATCAGTATAACAATATTATAAGCATGGTAGTCGCCGACGTTCCGTAGGGATATGGCACTCTAAGAAGAAGAAAAGGTGTTTGAACCATGCATTTTGTTGGGGGGAAATTATTAACATGTTAAATTTTCTGGCGGTTATATTAAATTTTTGCAGCATACGTTGTAAATCATCTTCACTTTGAGAGAGTAGTATTACGTCGTCGGCATAGGGGATTATTTTAAGTTGTTTTTCTCCCATTTGGTATCCTTTTTTAGTTCTTACTTTTTTATTATTTCACCCATAATCAGGTTGAACAATAGAGGACTCAGAGAATCTCCCTATCTTATCCCATTGCCAGATTCAATAGGCTCGGTTAGTTCTTCTTTTACTTTTACTTTTATTGTATTATTTTGGTAGATATTTTCAAATAGGGGCATCGAGTTGCCACGTGAGAGGATTTTAACGATGACATAGAAATAACAAACATAACGGTGTGCTAAAGGAGACCTTCGTTTCTATTGGTCTAATTTGACGTAGAGTATTATGTAACATTTGAAGAAGACGTCTATTAGTTGTTAGTCGTCTGCTTTTTGTCCGTCAATTAATACGGAGAATAAGACATCGTATCACCACATAGTATTCTTCTTCTTCTTTAAGTTCCATCTATCGAAGGTTGGAAATCATCATGGCTATGCGGACTCTGTTGACTGCCGCTCTAAAAAGTTCTGCACTACTGCATTCAAACCATTCCCTTAAGTTCTTAAGCCAGGATATTCTTCGTCTTCCCACATTTCACTTTCCTCGGATTTTGCCCTGCATAATAAGTTGTAATAATGCGTATTTTTGCCCTCTCATCACATGTCCCAAGTACTCAAGTTTTCGTCTTTTAATAGTTAATATTATTTCCGCCTCATTTCCTATCCTTCTAGTTACTTCCATGTTTGACATTCTTTGATATGACATGATATTCGTAGGATTCTTCTGTAACACCAAAATTCAAAGGCGGCCAACTTATTCAGATGAACTTGTTTTAGTGTCCAAGCTTCCAAACCATAAAGAAGAGTAGAGAACACGTAACATCGAAGCATTCTCAGACGTAGTTCTAACCTTATATCCCGACAATAAAGAAACTTTTTAAGTTTAATAAATGATGTACGTGCTATTTCAATACGTGTCTTAATTTCTTTGGTTTGGTCTACATCTGATGTTATCCATGTTCCTAAGTATTTACAGTTATTAACACTCTCAATTGCAGTATCTTCAATAGTCAATTGGATATTTGCATGTGCAGATTTAGTCATGATCATGCATTTAGTTTTCTTCAAATTTATCTTCAGTCCGTACTCATGACAGCGTTCATTAAGGCGTTGCATTACGTTCTGTAAATCATTGTTGTTATCCGTAATTATTACTGTATCGTCTGCAAAACGTAAGTTATTCAAAACTTCTCCATTGATAGATATACCTTCTATTGAGTCTGAGAGCTCTTTTTGAAATACCGCTTCACTGTAGACATCGAAAAGTAGTGGGGACAGCACGCAACCCTGGCGGACTCCTCTCTGTATTTTGGTTTTTTCGGTGTAATGGCTGTCAACTCTTACCTTGGCAGTTTGATTCCAATATAAATTAGATTCAGATCACGACTGTCAATATTTTTGCTTTTTAATATATCTACAAGCTTTTTATGTTGAACTTTATCAAATGCCTTTTAAAAGTCTACAAAACATAAGTACATATCCTGATTCATGTCCATGCATCTCTGAGCCAGCACATTCAAGCCGAGCAAAGCATCTCTTGTACTCATACCATTTCTAAAGCCAAATTGTGTGTCACTAAACTCATATTCAAGAGTTTTAACAATTCTGCTGTGAATTATTTTCAAAAATGTTTTAAGTGTGTGACTCATTAAAGCTATTGTTCTGTGGTCTGAGCAAGTTGTTGAACTTGGTTTTTTGGGAATTGCTACAAAGGCTGATTGCAGCCATTGTCTGGGGATTGTGGCAGTTTGATATATTAGATTAAAGAGTTCAACCATTACATCAATAACATCTTCATCGATGAGTTTTAATAATTCAATGGGCACCTCATCTGATCCAGTAGCTTTACCCTCTTTTGTGTTTTTGATGGCATAGATGACTTCTTCTCTTAATATTGGTGGTCCGGTATCCTCGGTGATTTCTAATGACAGTTCTTCTCTTTCATCATTAAATAGTTGTTGAATGTAATTGGTCCAGTGACATAATCTCTCCTTCATATCAGTAATAATATCCCCTTTATCATTATTAAGGATATTCGTTTTTGTACGCTTTCTAGAACCTGTCATTTCTTTGATTTTTTTGTGTAAATTAAAGCTATTGTACTTGTTATCCAGATCTTCTATTTCCTTGCATCTGTCGGAAAGCCACCTCTCTTTTGCCTCTCGAATTTTCTTTCTGATGTTTCTCTGAATTTCTTTGTATTTATTCAGGTCTTTTGCTTTATGTTTTCTTCGTTCTTCCATGAGTTCAAGAATTTCTATTGTCATCCAAGGTTTTGTTTTTTCTTTAAGTGGTTTGAGGGTTTCTTTTCCAACTGACACAATGGCATGTTGAATTTTTCCCCATTTTTGGCCAATAGTTAGAGTTTCTGCATTATCTTCTTTGAATTTCCTTAAGCTCTCGTTTATTTTAACTTTGGTTTCCACATATGTGTTGTCTTGTTTGAGACGTTTTGTATCTATGATTTTCTTGATGCTAGGGCTGTTGACCTTCTTTAGTTTCACTCTCATCGACAAAACAACCGGGTTGTGGTCGGAGGATATGTCCGCTCCTGGATCAGTTTTAGATGATATTATAGAATTTCTATATCTTCTGTTGACGATAATATAATCTATTTGATTTCTGACTATTTTGTTGTTATTGTCAGCTGGTGACCTCCATGTATATAGTCTACGTTTAGGAAGTTTGAACAAGGTATTTGTAATTATGAGTTCCTCATTGACACAGAAATCGACAAGCCTATCGCCACGTTCATTCCTCCACATAGTATACAACGATCTAACTCTAAAACGAAAACATCAACGAATAATCGTATTAGCCTTATTTAGCCTTATATTATTTCATCTAAGGTTCGATATGGAGATTCAATTATTTCGTACTAGGTTATATAGGGACCCCGTTCTTCACGCAAATATCTAACTCGAAGTAATCAATGATGCAGCTCCTTTAACGTTCTACAATTCTTTCTATGATGCAAGGAGCTCCTTAATATTCTGACTGGTTGCTGCTAGTTGCACATACGTTTGAAGGACCGTGAAAACAAAATACTGGTTAGCACGCTCAAGAAAAGTAACAATTTTTAGACGTTCTGGACCGGTTGAATGATTTCAATAAACTAAAGATGTGGATGGCGACATCGTGTCAGCGACAGCTTATCGTGGCTGCCTTTGTAATGGCTGTGTAAGAGTGCTTTTGCTTGGCGCGTGAAAAATCCAAAGTTATTCATAACAAAATTAATAATTGAATGAGGCCATACGACTAGTTAAAAATAAAATTAATAAAAATAGAAATGATATACTTAATTAAAAAAAAACTAAACAACTTTTCCAAACACACAGATTGAGTTGATTTTTTTTTTCAATTGCTCACGAACATGTAAAGTACTATATTTTATTACTTACCCAAAAACGCCACGTTATAAGCCTTTGGTTTAGGAGGGCAATTAATTGCAATTTTTGTAACGATTCCTAATGTTCCTTCAGATCCCATAAAAAGATGTTTTAAATGATATCCCGTATTGTCTTTCTTTAATGTACTTAAACAGTCCACGACTTCCCCATTAGCTTTAACCTGAATTAGATATGCATATTTTTAGAATAAAAAAACAGTGAAATCAAACGTTACAGTTTTCTTCCTACTGTTGTAGTACTTTTAAATTCCGTTCTGTAAAATTTTAATTCACGTATTTCAAATTCCATTCTGTCCGAGGTTTTAATCTACGTATTACAAATTTTCGAAAAAGAATCACTTAAATTTCGCACTAGAAGACGTATTATAAGTGTTTGTTTATACAATTTTAATATATATACACCGGTATTTAGGCGGTACGCCCTTCCGGTAGTGATCTATGGAGGAGTATCACCGAGCCGCAAGCCCTTATCTCTTGCTGTACTGCTACACCATAGGCCGATCAGACACCAGCTTATTCTAGTCTAAGCCGCAGATCCATCTAGAATTTTAAACTGCTGCGTTAGCCTTTTTGTTTTCTGTACACCGAGCTGAGGATCTAACCCACATCCACTGAACGACTCACAGTGAAGCGAATAAGAACCGGCTGCCCAGCCCGCTTGGCCATCTGACCGACTTATACAGTCTTAATTGCACGTAATAACGCTAACCTAATTTAAAACTGCGTCTCCACAACTAAGCGCAATAAGTGTTTGTTTAAATTTGCCAAGATAAACCAGCGATTGGCAGATACTTAGTGTGGGATCATTGAGAAGAAAGTTTTTTTTGAGAGTCGCTTTTTGTCTGGTCAACGAAGAGACTGGTCGGCGGAGCTATTCGCTGATCGTTAGCCAGTTTTTTAGTTTGAAAACATCTTTGGAGATGAAATGTATCTTTGGTAGTAATGTTATTAGGTGATAATATGCAATCAACGAAATGGTATCAGGTCTTCTTCTTCTTTTTATATAGACATGACTGTTTGTTTTTCAATGTGCCCTCAGTAAGTCGTTGTTGTCATTCGGATAGTAGATCATTCAATTCTACTCTTCTATTTCTTACCCAGTTCTTGATGTTTTCCACCTTGCATCTGTGTCGTATATCTGTACTTCTAGCTCTGTCCCATAGTGTCTTATCATCAATTTTTCCAAGTGTTTTCATCTTTACTGTTTCTAACATCCTTATTGCCCTCTCTGTATCAGGTCTTGTTTCTGCCGCGTATATCAATATTGGTCTGATGATTGTTTTGTAAATTCTTCCTTTCGTTTCTTACCCGATATTTTTATTTCTCCATATTGTTTCCTTCAGGCAGCCTGCGGCTCTGTTTGATCTATTCTTCCACTTCTGTTTCGAGCTTTCCGTAACTAGATAATGTGATGCCTAGATATTTAAACTCCATCACTTGTTCTATTATCGAACCTTCCAGCTCCAATTTACATCTTAGTAAATTTGCTGTTGTAACCATGCATTTTGTCTTTTTTTGAGGAAATTCACATGATAAATTTTCTGGCGAATACTTCGTTCTTACTTTTTTTATTATTTCATCCATGTAACAATAAAACACTGAAAACTTTGTTTTCAAACTTCCACAAAATTTATTTTAAATCTTATCACTACAGCTGTTTCGGCTGATTGCCTTTCTCAAGTGTTCTATTTTTGGCTTGGGTTTACAAATTTATAGTCTCTAATGAAATAGGTTGAGGAAGGGAGAACTGTTTGTCTCAAGTTGATCATTCAGAATTATATCTGCGTTTTTTAATTTATTGATTTATATAGATTCTAACAAAGATAGCTTAAGGCCCTTATTTTGAACGTGAAGAATTTTAAATTTGTCATTAAAAGAATGATTATGATCTAGAAGGTGAAGTGCGTATGTCGAATCTGTTTTTCTACTCTTGAAAGCCCTTTTATGTTCTGCTATTCGTTTATCAAGATTTCTACCAGTTTGACCGATGTAAGTTTTTGGGCAGTCGCCACATTGAAGTTTGTCACACCACTATTTAAGTGTTTTTTATTTTGGCTCTTGTTATTTTTAATATATTTGCCTAGGTTGTTATTTGTTCGGAAAGCTGGTGTTATTCCTTTCTTTTTTGTGTTTGACGGCAATTTTTGTTGTTATTTTGCCTGCTGCCTGCCTCCCTGCCTACTTTTGTTGTTATTTTGCTGTTATTTTTGGCAATTTTAGCAATTGTTTGGCAATTTTTGTTGTTATTTTGCCTGACAGGCAAAAGAAGAGGGCTTTCAAGAATAGAAAAACAGATTCGACATACGCACTGCACCTTCTAGATCATAATCATTCTTTTAATGACAAATTTAAAATTCTTCACATTCAAAATAAAGGCCTTAAGCTATCTTTGTTAGAATCTATGGAAATCAACAAATTAAAAAACACAGATATAATTCTGAATGATCAACTTGAGACAAACAGTTCTCCCTTCCTCAACCTATTTCATTAGAGACTATAAATTTGTAAACCCAAGCCAAAAATAGGTCACTTGAGAAAGTCAATCAGCCGAAACAGCTGTAGTGATAAGATTTAAAATAAATTTTGTGGAAGTTTGAAAACAAAGTTTTCAGTGTTTTATTGTTACATAAAATGAATTTCCATCAAGTAACGGTCGAATCCATCAATTATTTCATCCATAATCAGGAAAAACAATAGAGGACTCAGGGAATCTTCCTATCTTATCCCATTGCCAGCTTCAATTGGGTCGGTTAGTTCTTCTTCTACTTTTACTTTTATCGTATTGTTTTGGTAGATATTTTCGATCGTTTTGATTATTCCTAGAGGTATCTCTCTTACGTACAGTAAGTGGATAACATCTTTTAAGTTGACTCGGTCAAATGCCTTCCTAAGGTATACGAAACATATATATGCCGGTTTTTTGTATTCTAATGATTTCTCTTGCACTTGCGTCATTACAAATATAGCGTCGGTGCATGATCTTCTTGACCTAAAACCTTGTTGTTCTTCTGTTAGTGTTGTAAGTTCATTCAGTTTATTTATTATCACTTTGGTTGTTAATTTTAGTGTTGTGTTTAATAAATTAATTCCTCTGTAATTTTCCGGGTCCGATTTGTCTCCCTTTTTGAAGAGATTTATTAGGATGCTTGATCTGTATTCTTAAGGAATTTTGTTTTGTTCTAATATTTTTTTAATTAGTTTTAATAGTTGTTTGGTCAGATCTGGTCCTCCGTACTTTAGGAGTTCGTTCGGTATTCTGTCCTCTCCCAGTCATTTTCTATTTTTTAATTTCCTTAATGTCTATAGATATAAGTTATATAATGTAAAACTTTTTTACATAAAGTTTCTTCGGTAAAAGAAGAATTGGCGGCATTAAGATATGTGTTCCCAGATACCACAAGTAAAAGTTGACAATGACTTAATGTGACAGTTTGTTTTGTGTTAATTTATAGCTGGACTCTATCTAGAAAACCATAACTTTTAGATTTCTACGTTAGGATCTACATTATTTCGATGTTTTTTTTTATATCGTGTTTGGACAACTGTGGGAGATATTTTTAAATCTTCATTCTGGTAAAACCATGGTTAAACCTTTAAAACGGAAATGTTCCTTCCTGTATCATAAGCCGTAACGTTATTTCCGTAACATTTTTCCGCTGTAAAGTTTATATTATTTTTTTTTAGCTGTAATGTTTTATCCTATTTTAAAATAAATCCTTAAGTCTAATAATTTTTTTATACATCCTGAGGAATCTAAATGTAACAAACTGAAGAAACATCTTAGAGCAGTCCAAGATCTATAAATATTATTAAGCCAATAATAATAATAATGATGTACATAAAACTACAGACAATTACAGAAAATGCGTAAAATTAGAAATACACAAAGGAAAAATGTTAAGCACCACGTAGTCCTATAAATTAAATATAGTAATACCAAATATATTTTTTAAAAGTGTTTACTGTCGTTGCAGATATAGCACATCTATATTGCTATAGTTTATAGCATCAATTTGTTATAATCAACGTAAATGGAAACTTTACTGGATACAATGAGCGGCAGATTGCTGGTGTATACACCAAAGAGTGGTGATCCAAGTACTTATCCTTGTGTATCCCCTTTTAGCTGATTTCTCTACTAAGTAGGCTTCTCCAACACGACCACAGAAGTATCTTTTGGGAATTTTCAATCTAAAGGTTTAACTTCCCGATAATACCATAGTGATTCAAGTTAGTTATTAATAGACTTTTGGAAAGACGATCGAAGTTTTGGTGAAGTTTAAGTAGACTACATTAACAGGATGTCGATTCTTTAAAGATGCCGAACAATCGTTGAAACAATGAAATAAATTGAACGACCCCTAATAGAGCTGAACTGTTAGCAAGGGATTACGTTTTCTTGAAGGAGAAATTCGGACAGCTGCAGAATTTAAGATTTGAGATAATTCACGACATAACTTACCGCTTCTATGCCTAAAACACTACCATGCAAATTTCCATATCGTATTAATCTCAAGCCACCTGCATTGGTCGAAACATTTCCACCAATGTGACAGGATCCTTTTGCTCCCAGATCAAGAGGAATCATTAGACCGCGCTCTGATACGTAGCTTTCCAAATTTTCTAATATACATCCAGCTTGACAAGTTAGAACACCTACAACAGAAAATTATTTTGTATAAGTAAATTACACACTTGGAAAGTCGAGTTTGGAAAAAGTGGATAGGCACGTTTAAAAATTAACGTACTAGTCCCTAGACGGTATTGATACAAAGCTGATATGGTACGAACACGTCTAGAGGATGGATAACTTAAGACTCCCAAAAATAATTATGCAATGGGTACCACCAAACCGCAGAAAGAGAGGAAGACCCAACAAATCTTGGAGAGAAGGAGTAACGAAGGCGATGAGCGGAAGAGATCTTAGAGAGGGCCAATGGGATGATAGAGTGTCATGGAAATTAGGCATCGGACAACGTCGCAAGACGTTTTAAAACCGATTGATATATATGAATTATTTTAGTTGTTTCTCTTGTGTTGTTTTCTCTTAAGTCTTTTCGGATTTACCGATGAATATCTTTTAATTTCTTCATTTTTGTGTAATTGGAGCCGTATTTTCCGTCAGCGGTCTTCTTTTACCTATTAGCTCTTTGGTATTTTGGCTTAGTTTTTCTGTATGGGTCAGAACGGTCGGGCAGCACTCCCTTTCCGTTTCTTTTATAGCCTTCACTATGCCATCATTTGCTTGATCTATATTTTCTATTTCGTCTTATAAGTCTTGTATAAGTCTGGTTAGTATATCTTCATACAGGTTGTTGTTTTCTGGGGAAATCCATTTCTTTTATCTTTTTTAGGATCATCTTTATTCTTTCCAACTTGAAATTTAATAGTATCTTAGCTTGGATTAATCTGTGGTTGCTTCCTTTTGAAAATTTGTTGAGTACTTCGATGTCTTTGGTTATTTCTTTTCTGTTTGTAATGATATAATCTATTTCAGGCTGAGGCTTTTTATCGAAAAATAGTTCATCATGAATAAATTTTCCTGGTATCAGAAGTTCAGCAAGCTTTGCCCTCGTACATTTCTTTTGCCATAGCCATACTTACCATTGCTACTTCTGCATCATCTTGTTTAAACCATATTTTCGCATTAAAGTCGCCCATAATTATTTAGTTTGGAATTCAACTTTTGTTAAACGTAATCGCCAAAACCTTTAATTCATTTAAGAAGTTCTTTTTGCCAATATAAATATACCTGCATTGTCAAATTTAGTCATTTTCCATCTGGCACTAACACTTCTCTTCGTCGAGGGACCCCTTTTTTATATGAGTAAGATAATTATAATCTTTTTTAAATATCTGTTTATTTCCTGTTTCTTCAGGGTCTTAATTTTAATCGCTGTTCTTCAAATTTTTAAAACCTTCTTCTTCTTAACGTGCCCTATCAAGTCCCCTTGACGTTGGCGATTAACATGGCGAAACTGTCTCTATCTCGAGCTATTCTAAAGAGTTGCTCAGCTTTCTTTATTCCTGTCCACTCTCTGATATTCTTCAACCAAGAGGCCTGCTTTCTACCAATTCCTCTGCGTCCTTAGATTTTACCCATCATATCGGTCTCCCCTTACTATAATAAAATAGACCATATTTCTACATTTCATGTTATCAAGCAGCTCGCGAGCAGCATTTGCTCTCTCAAGGACTGCCACATTTGTCAGCATAGCCGTCCATGGAATTTTTAGTATACGTCTGTGCAGCCACATTTCAAAGACCTCCAGACGATTAATGGTGGATATTTTTAATGTCCATGCTTCGGCACCATATAAGAGGACTGACCAAATGTAGCATTTAACCATGCGCTTTCAAAGTTGAAGTTGCAAGTTATCATTACAGAAGAATAACCTCATTTTTAAAAATGTCGTGCGGGCTATCTCGATTCTACATTTTATCTCTTGATCTGGATCTAGTTGTTCAGTAATATGGCAACCAAGATATTTAAAACTGGACACTCTTTGAATTATATGACCATCTACATATAATTGTGCATCTTGATGTGCTAAACGGCTAAACACCATGTGTTTTGTTTTTGAACAGTTTATGTTTAGGCCAAACTCTCTTCCCACTGTATCAATGGCATTTAAAAGGCATTGTAATCCATTCATGTCATCACTTAAAATAACTGTATCGTCTGCATATCTGATTGTATTTATCAGAATTCCATTAACTTTCACGCCCCATTCCAAATTATGCAGCGCTTCTTTAAATATTCTATCTGAATATAAATTAAATAACAGTGGGGATAGTATACAACCCTGTCTGACACCTCTTTGTATTTTACATATTTCTGTTGATTTTCCGTTTATGCAAGCTGTCGCTGTTTGATGCCAGTATAACTTTTCTATGAATCGTATGTCTTGACTATCAACTCCTTTATCTTTAAATATTGTAATTAATTTGTGATGCTGTACTCGATCAAAGGCCTTTTCATAGTCAATAAATACAGCAAAGACGTCTTTCCTTTGATCTCGACATTTCTGCAGTAATACATTTAGTGCAAAGAGGGCGTCCCGAGTTCCCAGTCCATTTCTGAAGCCAAATTGTGTTTCATCCTGATATTCTTCACATTTATCTCTGATTCTACTGTGGATGATGCCTAGAAATATTTTCAATGTGTGGCTCATAAGGCTTATCATTCTATAATCGCAGTTTTTTTTATATATAATCTACAGTTTTTTATTTTTATTATAATCAATTTTTATTATAATCTACACTACGACTGATATAGGAGTAGACGTCGCGCGCTAGCAGATTTCAAATATTGTACCGAGAGCTCAGTTGATCGAGAACCGCTTAGCTGTATACAACTGTATACACTTGTATACAGCTTGTATACAGCTAAGCGGTTCTCGATCAACTGAGCTCTCGGTACAATATTTGAAATCTGCTAGCGCGCGACGTCTACTCCTATATCAGTCGTAGTGTACAGTTTTTCGGACGTTGTTTTTGGGTAGTATTATAAATTCGGACTTTAACCAATCTTCAAGGATATCGCCAGTCGAATAAACATCATTGAAAAGTTTGACCAATATTCCAATGTTCTCCTCATTTATAAGCTTTAACATCTCTGTCGGTATGTTATCAGGGCCAACGGCTTTCTTGTTCTTTGCTAACTTTATAGCATACAGGATTTATGATTTTAGTATTTTTGATCCTTCACCTTCAACTAAAGTGTCCGGTTCTTCGGGTCTATCATCATTATACAGTTCACTTATATAATTACACCAGGTTGTTCGAATTTCATGAATGAATTTTATTCATTCGTCTATTATCATTTTTCCCGACGAATCCGTTATAGTATGTGGAGTTTTCTTATGATAAAGACCAGCTACTTCTCTAACTTTTTTAAACATATTAAACGTATCATGTTTTTCATTCAACTTTTCTAATTCCTTGCATTTATCCTACATCCATTTTTCTTTAGCCACCTTTATTTTTTGTTTAATTAGTTTCTGTTTTTCCGTATATTCTGTCTTGTTACCTTTCAGTTTCCTTCTCTGCTCCATTAATTCCAGGATTTCATCAGTCATCCATTGTTGTTTTTTGTGCCTGTGTAACGTTGTTGAATATTTTTTTATTACTTTCAAGGTAAGATCTTTAAATGTGTTCCATATTTCTGTGTTGTTTTCATTTATTGATTTCTTTAGTTTATTGTTTAAGTCATTTTCTATTAACGTTTTGTTGGATATTGAGATATTTAATTTTGGTGTTTTGGGGCTTTCTTGGACTTTTTTGAGCTTCACTTTTATTTCAGTTATTACAGGGTTATGGTCTGAACCGATATCTGCACCAGGATATGTCGTTACTCTTTTTAAAACTAATATTCTTAATTTAAACTGGAAGCCTGCCAAATTCCCATTAGATTTCCACAATGCTAAGCCAATTAACTAATTAAGAACTTCCTTTGGATTTGAGGCTGAATAGTGATATATAATAATATATATATATATATAAACATATGAAAGTAAAAGATGGTATTTCATATTTCAATTCGAATTCCACCATTGTTCTATACGTGTTTCGAGTTATTCATCTCCCCATCAGGAAGTTCCACTTCCAAAAGCGTTCCTGATTTACTTACTTTATATTTGCTTGATTAACGTGTAAGAAGTTTATTATTTTAAAAATTTAGTGACTGACTGTAGATGGCAACTGATTTTATGATATGATTCAAATTATTGTTATTACTAAAACTCTAAAAATTATACTCAATAACATACCTGATGTTTCGTCTAAATTCACAATTTCGTTCATAAGTCCCGTCCACAAAACCACTTCATCAAAAACTGGAACAGATCCCCCAACAAGCCCAGTATTACCTCCTTGCGGACAAACGGCGATTCGATGCTCATTACAATAAGATAGAATTTTTGATACTTCCTCAGTAGATTTGGGTTTGAGAACGCACTGACTATAACCTAAAAAATAAATAATCTAATAATAGTAACAAAATCTAAAGTCAGCTGTATTTACTAAAAATGCTGAAAATGACAATACTTAATACTCTCCCTCTCTTTGCACTGAAGTATATTACAGATCACTTTAAAAATCAAAATTATTCTGTGCTTTGATCTACGTTTAAAGAGCTTAGATCTTTTAGATATGAGTGAGATCTCATCGCCATGAAATACAATCACCCTCAGTAGAGGGTAAAAACATATATAAGCGCAATAAAACTATGTAAGCCTCATTAGGCGCAAGCCACCAAAAAAATTAACAAACCTAAAAAGTCCGGTATCTCAATAAATGGAGTCAAGCTCAATAACCTGCGGTACGCAGATGATACAATAGTGTTCTACAATACCATAGCAGGGCTGCAAAACTTAATGAACAAATTAACGGAAACAAGTAGAACATATGGACTGGATATAAACACCACCAAAACCAAGCTAATGATCATCGACAAGGAAAACATAACTGGAGCAAATCTGTATGTGAACCAAAGGAGAATTCAACGAGTCTCACAATACAACTACTTGGGAACTATAATCAATGAGTCGTGGGACAATACCCAAGAGATTAAATGTCGCATCGGAAAGGCAAAGAGTGCATTCTTAACTATGAGTTCTGTGTTCAAGAGCCATGACCTCACCCTAGAAACAAAAATTAGGCTCCTTAAATGTTATGTGTACTCAGTGCTTCTGTACGGAGTAGAAACGTGGACATTGAAGGTGGAAACTCTATCAAAACTTCAGGCTTCTAAGCTATGATCATACAGAAGGATCTTGAAGATACCATGGACAGACAAAGTCACCAATGAAGAAGTACTGCAGAGAATGAACACAACTGCGGATTTGTCAACATCGTGAAGGGTCGTAAGCTGCAGTACTTGAGACATATAATGAAAAATCAAGGCAGTTACGAGCTACTTCAATGCTACTACAAGGCAAAATTTAAAGAAAAAGGGCCCTAGGACGATCATAGCCAGAATGATCGCCTACGTTCGGAAAGGACAGGCACCTTAAGAAGAAGAAAAAATCCCGGGCACATAGGGCCCAAACCCTTGAGCACCAAGGAGGCTGCGCCTAATTCGGAGGCTTGATGCTCAAGCAAGCAATTTCAGTTTCGCAGATTATTAAGTTGTAGCCCCGGTAGGTACTTATTTTTTTTCCGTCCGTCTGAACACAGGTTTCTTTTGGGACAAAGAAGAAACCTATTGAATCCATATTGAAGAAGTCCATATTACACGGTGACTATTCGCGTTGGGCATCGCTGCGTCCTATATTGCAGCATACTGGACTTTTTATTCATCAGTAAAATTTACTCGTTTGAAAAATTTGACAACAGCGCCTACTTCGTGAGTTTGTTGTTACACGTGGTGAAACTGGTGAGGTTATGATGGCGGCTCCACAAAAATACAATAAGTTGTAGTGTTTTTTTGTACTTTAAAGTATTGGTGTTCTTAATGTATGTTAGTTGTTGTTTGGACGTATTTGTGGTAAACATATATTTGAAAATAATTACAACTGGTCACGTCAGGAGTTGTCTGAACTTTTTGTCAAGTATTTTGGACATTGAGACTTAGTTAGCAAAATATGTTACCATACTCACGTTTTTACGTTTATTTACAGACAGAAAAAGGATATTGACAGAACGTAAATTGGTGGCTATTTTGTCAGATAGCGATTTTTTCTCAGTGAAGTTAGGGAAAATGATTGTAATGAAAACCGGAGAATGTTTCTGAAAACCTCTCAACTGTTTTTCATGAACACGAAACTAATGCCCAAAATCATTTAGAAAATTCAGATTCGGAGTGGGGAATCTGAATTCTTTAGGATCTTTATGATCTTTAGGATCCTTACTGCAGCCTTGGGAGAAACTATAGGAAACGGAACAATTGGATGATGTTAAGAATAGGTGGAATAAAAATATTTTTGAGACTCAAGATTCCGACGCCGCTAATCTATGGACAGCTAATGAAGATCACGAATTCTGGACACCATTAGATTATTTTTCTGAGTATTTTACTAAGCATTTTGGGAAAATTTGTCTTCAGCAAGTAACATACGAGCTATGCAAGAAAACGAAAAGAAAAATCTAAGGTCAACTCCGGAGGAATTTAAGAAACTAACAGGTATTCATACTTTATTGGGAATTTTTGGACTACAGCGCTTACGCCTCTAATTCATGAAAGGAATTGAAATTCCTATTATTACTCACCTTCCCTGAGATAGAATCTATAAGTTACGAAATTTTTTGCATGTTGTAGATAACTGTGCAGTTTCAAAGGACACTAAAAAGGCAAATAAACTTTGGAAAGTTCAGCCTATTCTTGATGCACGAAATAAATGTATCACTCTTCAAAGATCTCGCGAGTTGCCAATCGACGAATAAACTATTCCATTCACTGGCACCACTAGTTTACGAGAGTATATCAAGAACAAACCTAATCCTGTAGGTTTAAAGAATTTTGTGCTTGCTTCAAAAACAAGGCTAGTCTTGGATTTATTTATTTATCAAGGTGCAAACACTTGACCTGATGCTGCTCCTTACAAATACTTGGGCATTGGCGGCTCTGTCGTGAAAAAATTGCGGCGAACTTATGTCCAGGAACAACAATTTACTTTGATAGATATTTCACCTCCATTAATTTACTGGATTATTTATTAGAAAAAAGATTACTTGGTATTGGTACCATTCAGAATAATCGAATTCCACGAGTGCTTAGGGACAAAATAAAAAAAATATTCTGTTTTACTAAAGGAAGGATGGACAATAGATCTGTGACAATGGCTTCTACATCTGCAGGTAGCTATGCTATTGGCTGACGTACGAAGATGGGATAAAAAAATTTAAAGTACATTCTGGTGCCTTGCCCAAATACAATTGTTAAATACAATCAGTTAATGGGAGGTGTAGATTTGTGTGACAGATTTATTTCACATTATAGAATCTGTCTTCTTCTTTTTAACGTGCCCTATCAAGTCCCCTTGACGTTGGCGATTAACATGGCGAAACTGTCTCTGTCTCGAGCTATTCTAAAGAGTTGCTCGGCTTTCCTTATTCCTGTCCACTCCCTGATATTCTTCAACCAAGAGGCCTGCTTTTTACCGATTCCTCTGCGTCCTTTGATTTTACCCATCAGAATCTGTATGCGCACTAAAAAAAAGACCTGTACGTGTCTTTTGACACTTTATTGATCTTGCATTGACCAATTCATGGATACAGTATCGTCAGGATCGTGCAGTGTTTGGCGATAAGCGGGAGACAAGCTAGTGCGTCTATTCCTAAAGAACCGGAGTTATCTGAATATGAAGAGCCCATAATTCCTTTAACAAGATCTAAAGTTGTCCAGTTATCGCCTATAAATGTAAGAAAAACCAGTAATGACCATTTGCCAATATGCTCTGTCAGCAATAAAAATTTTTACATGCGTTGCCGAAACCCTGGATACACTAAGATGAGATTCGTTTGTACAAAATGCAAAATGTACTTGTGTATTTCTCCTGAACGAGAATGTTTTTTTCAGTTTCATACTTAAATTATATGAAAGTTAGTCCTGATGTCCATTATGCTGGAACTGTCATATTATGTCTTTAAAATATTTTTTTTTAGTTTTTATAAATTTTTGTTTATTGTTTTCACAAATAAAGAGAGAAAATATTAAATATTGTTAAAATAATAAAAATTGTTTTCTTGGGACTGGGGAGGATAAGTACACTTTAGTGTAAGGAAGAACCCTATTGACTCTGAGGCGAGATTTATTCGTCTTCTTATATCTCATATCACTACTAATTTTGTCAAATTTACCGGCTAATGTGCTCATTATACATTGTCGAAGGAATTGCTATAAAGCTCCAAGTATTATTCAGAATTTCTTATCGTTTACTATCAGTCAACGACAAAGATGATACAACTACACTTGAGTGCAAAATAATCGACTCAAAATTATTTTTTCGAAAGTACGTCTCCTGTTTCAATCTGAAAAGTGTATATTTAAAAAAAATTAGTTTACAATCATTAACCTCATTATTAAGTTCTAAAAAAATGTTATTTTTTGGTGAATTGGATGACGCTTTACAAATAAATAATGCAACACGTAGAGAGGGGGTCACAATTTGACTCATTTGAATCGACCCGCACCGACAAAACGCGTTCGGTTACCATCGTACGCATCAATTTTCATAGCAATCCACTAATACATCAGTCACTTAAAATCGCAACTGCATTACAAATTGATACCATATCCATCAACGCAACTCAAGCAGTAGCATTATTGAGAGAAGACCTGAACCAGAGGGCCGTGGCAAATCGACTAAATTTAAGCCAATCTGCTGGATCCCAAGTGTAGCGTCGGTATCCAGATACTGCTGATTATATCCGTTGACAAGGAGGAGGCCGTAAACGAATAACAACAGAGAGAGATGATCGATTTCTTATATCCAAATCTCTAAGAAATCGATATTTGAGTAGTGCTAAACTCAAAGAAGAGCTTAGTGATGTCCGAGGTGTGGTGACCAGCATTTGGACAGTCAGAAGGAGACTAAAAGCAGCCAACCTGACACCAAAAAGGGCAGCTAAGTGTACCAAGCTATCTGCAGCCCAGAAGCAAAGGCGATTAGAATTTGCTCGCGAATATCTGGATTGGGACGACTATCAATGGAGTCAGGTATTATTCTCCCATGAGAGGAGGATCTGCCTACATGGCAACGACAAGAGGCGTCGAGTCTATGAAAGGCCAGGAGAGCGATTTGCTTAATTTTGTTTACGAGAATGTGTGTCATGTAGGCGAGTCTTGTATGTTTTGGGTAGGCAGTTCTATGGATGGAAAACCGAGTTGATTTTCGCGCATGGTGGAGGACGTGGAGGAAATTTAACGGCAGATCGTAACATCAGAGACATTTTGGAGGAACATGTGGTTTCATACGCGGGATTTACTGGTGCTGCCTTTCTTTTAATGCACGATTCCATGTCGCAC